AAGTATCTTTTCAATCTTGTAGCCGTTATGTTACATATTTTATACTGAAACGAAATGATTACTTTATGAAACAGAAATAACTAATGTGCCAACACAAATTTCAAAAATTTAACAATTAAAAACGAAAGAAGATTTATGAAAAACAGTTTTTTAAAACTGGGGGAATTTCCACATTAGACTAATAATTATAGATGTTTTCAAATGGAAAGGCAACACCCATTTATTAAGCATTTGTAAGTCATGTTTGTTATCTGAAATCATAATTTTGATGAATACTTTATTAAACTAATTTTATTAGGATTTGATAATTTACCAAAAGGTGTTTGGTGAAAACAAAAGTAGAAATTATAAACCAATTATTCCGTTCCTTAATTATTTCAGACCTGAATCTAACCAGTTTCTGACCTCAATTAAACCAATATAATATGAAAAAGGCAAAGCTTCAAAGCGAGCTCGATGTACTTTTTACGAGAATAGTATGAAGTAGTCGCTCATTTTCATTTCAAATGCAGTGACGAGTGCGTGTGACGACACACGTACTGTGTTAAATATGGCTCCGCCCCTGTCGTGAAATGAACAACGAGTTTTGAAAACGTTTTAATATAAAACTTTGTTTATTTTATTTCACTCTATAATTTTTCAAGCGAAATTAAGATTATTTAAAGTGAAATAAATGTAAAACTTAAAACGTTTGCGACATTAAATAAAATAGCGTACTGATTTATTTGTTTTACACGCGCTGTTTGGCGCTACATTGTTACGTCACGTAAACAATACATTAAACGTCTGTACAGCGTTAACGACTGAATAACAGATATTGGTGTTCGGATTCATTTTCTTAGTTAGACTATTTTCTTTCATTCTAGATAGTTTTCACAACAAAGTTCGACAAAAAATTGTTTTTATTTATCAGAATCAGATTTCAAACAAAATGGCGCCTTCGATTTTTTATACACAGCTTCCGTTATTCTGGTTCCCTGTCCAATTATGGTTCCCATAGACATGCGCAGGTGACCAGTCTACACATCCGTTTTCAGTCAGTATTCCCAAGTTTTTATCGTTATCTTTAAATTCGAAAGGTTGCGATGTGTCCAATTCGGTACTTTGGACGAAAGTTTTCGAAACCATCACTTAGCAGGTACTCGCGTTACCGTAAAGCTCGCTTTGCGAGCAGGCCCTTCGGGCCAGCTCGTCGAGCTCGCTATAACATTAATGTAACTAAAATTTGTCCATAATCTGGCCAAATTCAGACATTCTGAAAAGTGCCACAGACGCGCATAGGTAAATCTGTCCTTATTTTATTAAATCTATATACATGTATCCTGTTTTCTCGTATTATCGTGGGGGTAAGGATTAAACTTGGTTGGATAATTTTTATAAAACATTTTGGTACAGTATTTTTTAGCCTGATACCGAGAAAAATACCTTTTTAAGACAATATAAAGGAAGGAAGATCGTAACCGAAAGCAAAACAAAAGATTTTTCCGCTTGTATATCCTGACCTTTACCCTCTATGTGAAGCAGGTGCTTTCTCAAATTATCGTGGAATTTGATTGGTTGTCAAGGCTGGTCGCTATGTGGTGATTTTATTCTACACACCAGTTCAAATCATTAGTGCAACTCCTAATTAAGTGTTAAATGGCTTTGCTCTGTAATTTTTTGTGTTTAAATATAAGCTTAGGAGGCCATAATCAAACTTTTAGGATCATATTCGACGACTCTTTGGAACCAAATGATTTGGTTTGTTCTAAAAATAGTTTTAACTCAATTAATATGTGTTGTTGTTTACATAATCCCTCTAAAATATATAAAGTTTATGTTCACTTATAACTTATATGAGATTTAGCAATGAATACTACAGTTTTCCATTGCAGGGAAACAAACATTTGTTGTTGTTTTCTTGTCAAAAATAAAAAGTGATAAGGATAAACAATGTTTGATCATTATTGGTTTTTAATTGGAGTTCATATGATTCGTATAGTATCTATTTGTGGAACAAATATTTTGAGCTGTATTGTACATATAGTAGTGTGAGACCGTCATTGTCAGAGAACCGCCAGGGGTTTCTGCAACATGAAAAAAAAACTAGAAAATTTATGATTTATGAGAAAAACTGATAAATTTAATGTTTTTTCTCTGGATTTTATGATAACTTCCACAAATATTTTGTTTTTATCTGTTTTTGTCGAATTTTTTTAGTTATTTTTGCCGGAGATAAAACAGCTCTGCTAAATAGACAAGTTTTCGGATATCGACGGAAGTCGCGAGCGTCGCTTCCATCCGTTTTACTTATTCCACGATAATACGAGAAACCACGATAATACGAGAAACAGGGAATAATATAAACGGGTACCACTAAAATACGCAACGGAGATTTTTTTGGCGCAACGGGCGCAACGGAGATATTTTTTTTAAGAAAAACTGGCACAACGCTTTTTTTAAAGTCAATGTGCTATTTTTAAGCATCTAAAATGATTGTTTAGCACTATTAAGTAAGTATGTTTTAAAATGTTTCAAAAATTGTATATGTTTAATTGCACTGAAGGGTAATATGGCTGGCGAAATGGAAATTTCATGGCGCAACAGAGATATTTTTTAGAAAAAACCGACACAACGCCTTTTTTTAAGTCAATATGCTATATTTGAGCATCTAAAATGATTGTTTAGCACTATTATGTAAGTATGTTTTAAAATGTTTCATATTAAATTGTATATTTTTACACTGAAGGATTATATATGCCTGGTGAAATGGAAATTTCATGGCGAAACGGAGATAATTTTGGAAAATCGGCACAACGTATATACTAATATATGAAATTAATTAACACCAATATTATTGAATAAATAAATTTAAAAAAAAAGATATAAAAACCTTAATCGTATATCAAATAGCTGGCAATGTTGACGTTGTAAAGGATTGTGTGCCGACGAAATGGACATTTTGTATGTCGCAACGGAGATTTTTTTTTGATCCAACGGAATTTAAAAAGAAAACAATGTTTGTCCTAATTAAGTAGTAATATGAAGAAGAAAATCATTAAAGATATTAACTGAATTACTGAAGTGGTGTAATGAAAGTCTGTTTTATTAATTTAAAACTGGAATTAAATACGTTTTTATCGTTATGGCTGACACTGGAAGACAAGTATGGATTTAACAATCTGTTTCATTTTTTTCAATTCGTGGTTTTTACGAAAAGTACTGTAATAGCTTTTCTATACATAATTTTCAGAATTTTACTTGAAGAGTAATGCATACGCTGTTGACTTTCTAATGTAATCTTAACAATAAATTACCACAACCAAATTTCAACAAAACGCTGCTTAATGGCTTTACTTCTACACAAAGAAATACGTTTATTTCCGTCATGGCTGATATTCGAAGATAAAAATGAGTCTTTAAATCTGTTTCTTTTTTCCCCGTGTATTACATTATATTTACGTTAAATATTGTTATGACTTTAATAAATGACATGTAACTCTTAAGAAAACAAATTCATATCTTTATTCAAAAGATTTGTATTACAGCGCTTAATTACAACACGTTTACCATGAAACGCAACACATTTCATCTCAAACATTGACCGTTAACAGAAGCATTTGCTAATTATCACCATTTTTAAGCTGCAGACAACCAAATTGCTTCAAAGAGGGGTGTTTTTCATAAAAAGTGTTCGTTCATTTTAAACTGTGCATAAATATCAAACATGTAAGTATTTGCTGAATATTATTATACTTTTGTGGATCAATTTTACTGTGATTAAAATAGTACTCGTTTAAATTTGATCCTATAATTTTTTAACTGTAAAAATTATTTTCTTATTTCTGCTGCCGGGAATATAATTATAAGCAAATCACTTTATTTGTTAAAAGCATGACCAGTAGCAAGCAATTTGCTAACCATATTACATTATCATTTTGGTAATGATTTAAATATTTTATGCATTTTTAAAATTAAAAATAGTTACTATACAAAATATTAATTGTTTGATGAAATTATTAAAATAGTAAAACGACATGCATGTAGAATTTGCTGTTCTTTCTATTTTCCATTTTAAAACAGTAAAACACATAAAATAATGTTACTTATCAGAAAACCCCGTTAAAATCAAATGCAGCTACTGTTTATTTAGCGATATAACAGCAATTTGGTGATTGGCAGAATGTTAATCACGGGTGTTAAGTACTGATAATTAAATTACCAATGACACGTGGTTGATGTTATTGAACACGCGTTTTCACACCATTTAGATAATGTGATTAAGAGGAACATATTATTATTGACTTTAAGGTATTAAATATTTTTTTATAACTTTTTATGAGAAAAAATGAGTATATGAAAATGAAATGTGAGACATAATAAAACTTGGAGCCTGAATCCGCCACTGATGACGGTCAAGTTTTCTACTACAAGTGTTAAAAAAACTCATTAAACACCCGTGCCATACACGTGCAGGATACGTTGCTAATTGCTAACAATTTTCGCGTAATTGATTACCTTTAGTCAATATCATAATTATGAAATATTTGGATTGCTTTTGATGAAATATACAATGTACGAGTATACGCAACAAACAATTATTGAAAAAGTACACAATGATTAATGAAAGATAATAAATTATTAAAATCATAAGTTCGTCGTCCCTTAACTGGGGCCAGCTTTCAGGGCATACTTGTAAGTGTTTGTGATCAGTCATAGTTTAAGTTAATAATGGTTTTCCTTGGATTCTTACAAATTGTAGCTAACCGCCTCCGTGGTCGAGGGGTTAGAGTCGATGACTTCTAATCCAGTTACCTCTCTGGCGTGGGTTCGATCCCCGGGAGATGCTTTGGTAGTTTAGCGCGGAGGAAGGTAGTCTAGTACTAGTGTAACTCTCCAGGAACAATGATTAGGAAACTACCCGCCTATATGACTGAAATACTGTTGGAAAAAGGCGTAAAATCAAACAAACAAACAAACAAAACAAATTGTAGCTAAAAATATTTTTTGTTTGTTTTTAGAAATCAAGATGGCACATGAGATACATTTAAAGAATAACAAATACCGGCAGTGGGTTAAGGCTGGCCTAGGCTTGGGTTATCTTAAAGAGGGACTTGCGCCATTTTGTGATGACATAGGAAGGCAGCAGCACAACGATATTATTAACAAAATACAACAAACAAAGACTCCTCAACCAAACATACCATGTAGCGCCTGTCAGATAACAACTCTCCAGCCAGATCATGTCCGAGTCTCAAAAGGGATATGTCCCCTCAAACAAGATAAATGTAACTGTTGTTTTCCTAATAATAAGAGACCCTGTCCAAACAATGTATGTGGTGCCATCTATGACAGCATTATACAGTATCATGCATCAATGCCACCTGTACCTTTTTGGAAAAACAGTGATGTCCAACAGTGGTCAACAGAACCGTGGGAGGTTTGCAAATGTTTTATAAATGCTCCTGGGTACAAGGACAAGACATCAGCAGTCGACACTGATTGCACCGGGTTGCTTCATGTTATCATAAATAACAAGTACTTTCATAGTCATATTGGATGCAATGTTACAGGACCAAACAATCTTTTTTCAAAGGTAACTAGATTTGTGTACTATAATTATTATGTTTATTTGTAAATTTTGTAAAATATTAAAGCAGCACGCCTCCATTTCATGCTTATTTTCATGAATAATTTGATAATGTATTTGAATGTACAATACAGTCCAACCTCGATTATTCGAAGTTCCCCGGACTGAAAATTTACTTCGAAAAATCGATGGTTTCGAATAATCCAAATCCGAACATAGTGATAGACGAAAACTACACCACTTGACCATATCGCAAATTCTAGCGAAATTAAATGTTTACAACTCATCTGTTACCGGTAATCAATCGAGAAAAACAAATAAACAATGATAAATGTTTAAAATATTTTTATTGTTAACTTAAACATAACTACTTGCATTTTATTTCCAGATTCTGTAGCACATATAGCGTATAGGTTAATATAAACATGCATGAACATTAAAAATATCGCTGTCATCTTCCGTATGAGAGAAAAAAACTACATCGGGTACGGCGCAGGATTTAAATCATAGATATACATGTACATGCATTTCAAATGTATTCAACAAAAGAATCAACATTATACAAGTAATATTAATATTTTATATTAACGTAGACATATTGCACTGATTTGAAATAGAAACTGGGAATTCACATTTATAAAGAAAAACATGACACAGCTCGCTAGTTGTCTGTTTTTATTTGTTTATTTTTTTCAATCCATTCTGTAATTAAAATCTTAATTTGAACAGATTTAACCGTCCAATTAATATCACAGTTTATTTTCATTTGTTTAGTTTCATTCATTAATTAAAATAATTATTTTGAACACTTTTAACCGTCCAATTAAAAGCGTACAATTTATGTTCGGTAATTAAAGTTAAAAATGTACACGCAAATCGTTATTATCACGATTAACTAAATACACGCACCGTTGTTAGAAGTTTTTCCGCAAAGTTTTTCACAAGTCGGGACGGTCAGCGAGTCATTCAGTGCCAATTAGTCTGGCTTCGAATAATAGGTGTGAAATTCTTATATAATGATATAATCGGGACCGAAATTTTGCTTCGAAAAATAGGGGGTATTCGGATAATGCATTTCGAATAATATGTTGGTATATATATTAGTTTATATAGAGATGAAAACGGGACCGTAGATCAACTTCCGATAATGCCGGGTATTCAAATAATGGGTTGTCGAATAACCGGGGTCGGACTGTATTGTGAAATAACTAAAAAGAAGCACTTGACACAATATAGGGTTAACGCACGTTTTTCCGTGTTATAACGTCTGCAGAGTCCCCAGGAACGGTTGGTGCCCGAGCCCGGTAGGGCGAGGGCTCCAACAGTTCTGAGGGACTCTGCAGACTTTATAACACGAAATAAACGTGCGTTGACGCTATTATAGCATAAAATTTTCAAACAGATTCGTGATGTATAGTTAATACAAAACACAATTACATTAAATTCTTTTGCTTGGACGGTATTTATCCAATTCTACATGTTTTACGTATGCGTTTTATTTTTCCGGGGCCAACAACTTGGAAAATTATCGGAACCGAACGAAATTTTGAATTTTAATCGATTTAACAAAGTTTGGCTTTTGGAGATTTATTATCTCAAGAAAAAAAACAACGATACATTACTCTACCCTCTACCCAAGACGAAACATGACCCTCAGAAATTCTTAGAATGATTTCAGATTGACGGTAGAAAAAAGAGCAGTGACATCAGAATCGTTTTTTTTTTCAAGCAAACAAGTTTATAAAAAAAATCAGGCACTAAGCATTATTCTCTCAAAGAAATATTAAGAGCATTTATCAACATTAACATAAATAAAAAACATTTTCTCATATTAATTTTGTGTTATCTAGTTTTGTAAGTTAATCGGAGTGTTAAACTGAATGACAGGTAGATTCTACTGTATTTGTTTACATTGGCAACTGTCCGTTTCTTAGAAAGGGCGACAACCAAGATTAGCACCGATGTCTATACGCCGTATTTCCGGCATAGTTACTTGAATATGCGACTGAGGCTCTCGAATCAATAAATTTCAATATAACAATATAACAAGAGCGCATGACTCTTTGGCAAACAGGCCAAATCGTCATTTTTTGTTTGTTTGTTTACTGGGCCCTGTATGTATTGATTGCGCATAGGTGAAACCGGGCTATAACAAGAGCGCGTGACTATGTTAACACATGGTTTTGGTCCCGTTATAACATGGGCAAAATAGGGGAAAATAGCCGATTTTATGCTATAATGGCACTTAAAACCCAAGTAAATTACAAAAAAGTGGTCAAAATATGCAAAAATAGCCGTTACTGCATTAACGCAGTAGAAATATAGTAAAATGTTGTAAATACTGACAAATCAGTCATTTATGGCACATAACATGTAAAATATTACTTGAATCTTGAATCATTTTACTTTTTAGCTCACCTGTCACAAAAAGACAGGGTGAGCTTTTGTGATCGCTTTTCGTCCGGCTTCCGTCCGTCGTCGGTCCGTAAACTTTTACTTTAAGTGACATCTCCACAAAACCACTAAGCCAATTTCATCCAAACTTCACAGGAATGTTTCTTTGGTGGTCACCTTGAAAAATTGTTCAAAGAATTTAATTCCATGCAGAACTCTGGTTGCCATGGCAACCGAAATAAAAAAACTTCAAATAGCTTCTTTTAAAAAAAAACCCTAAGAGCAAGAGCTTAATTATTTGGCATGAAACATCTTCTAGTGAGTGTCTACGAAGTTTGTTCAATAAAAGCCCTGGGGTCAAAATTGGCCCCGCCCCAGGGGGTCATTGATTTTCCCTATATGCATATAGTAAAAACTTAAAAAAAAATCTTTAAAAGAACCCAAAGAGCTAGAGCTAAGATATTTAGCATGAAACATTTTCTAATGGGTGTCTACCAAGTTTGTCAAATAAAAGCCCTGGGGTCAAAAACTGGCCCGGCCCCAGGGGTGTCATTGTTTTTAACTATATGTGTATAGTAAAAACTTTAAAAAAATCTTCTTTTAAAAAGCCCAATGAGCTAGAGCTTAGATGTTTAGCATGAAACATCTTCTTATGGGTGTCTACCAAGTTTGTGCAAATAAAAGCCCTTTGGTTAAAATTGGCCCTGCAACGTTGGGGGGGGGCAGATCATTGTTTTTCATTATTTGTGTGTAGTAAAAACTTAACATCATGAAACATCTTCCAATGAGTGTCTTCCAAGTTTGTTCAAATAAAAACCCTAGGGTTCAAACTTGCCCCGCTCCGGGGGCCTATACACAGGTGATCGACCTCAGGGCCATCATGACCCTCTTGTTCAAAAATATTAGTACATATTTTTCAAAGTTGATTATTGAAATATTTTTACTCATCTGGAGGCATGCAGCTTTAAGGTTTACTGTAATATTTAAATGTAGTTTGTTAATTGAATATAAAAGTAAAAGAGAATATTGTTACCTTAGTTACCTTTTTGAATTTTTAAAGGAATTAACCCATACCGCTGAAATTATGTCCATATAACTATGAGTTTAATGCCAGAAAAACGATTTGCAACAAATGTGTAATGATTTAAAATTGTTATGCATAAAATCTTACTCACAAATATTTTGTTTGCAATACAATCTTTTTGCTAGCTGTAATTTGTGTGGGCGGGAAACGAAAACTTTTTTTATTTTAAGCTTTACTGTTAAATGTAAAGAAGGCGGTTATTTGTACTTAAAGGGACTCCACTGAGGTTTAAAAGTCTAAAAACGTAACATTTGAAATTCTTACATAAATGAGCTGGGGCACTTTAAATAGTAATATATGCAAAGATATTTAAGAAATATACTTTGAAATAAATTGAAAATCGTATTTTTATGCTTTTCTTAGCCTAATTTGAGTGAAAAGCATTTTAACACTTTTCAGTTTTGGTCAGTTTCTTACAATTTGAATTTATTCTGGAAAAACAAAGTGCGTGAATGATCTTTAATTTTGCAGAAAGATTAGTGGTCTAAACCTACATCAAATGGTACAATTATCTGGAAAAAATATTTCCAGTCCCATCATGTCAAAAAACCTCAGTGATTAGTCCCTTTAATAAGCAAATGCAACACGTACAAACTATTACTTCAGTGAAATAATTATAACATTTATGAAAAGCAATTTCTATTTCATTTGCTTTTATATAATCTGCGGTTTAAACACAATAATAATAATGATTGTTATGGTAAGTATTTTAAAGTAACTCCTTTATTACAGTTTTTATTCTCAACTTAAGAATTCCCCCAAACAAACTAGACTTACCTGTAAGTTGACGTTGGGTTGGAATTCTATGTAGTCATATAACAACTGGAGGGATCAAATGAGATGTGCATAGACCGTATCAATATTCCTCAGTCTTCAAAACGTTAACAGAAAAATTATGTCCCAGAACGGGATCAAAAAGTAACATTTTCCTTAGGTATAAATATATGTAACTGTAACATTAAATGTTTTTCTGGGTGGAGTGGGAGGGCATTTGATCCCTCGAGTTGTTATATGACTACTTAGAATTCCAACCCAACGTCAACTTACAGGTAAGTCTAGTTTGTTTGGGGGAATTCTATTACGTCATACAACTTCCGTGCTCAAATGAGACTTCGACACAAGAGGACATAACTTTTATGTGCTACGAGTCACTTACTATAAGACATGTAAATGTTTCAACAGTAACGTATGTATATTTTTTACCTGTATCTGACATGTTACTGTAATACTGCGGACTGGAAGGATACCTCTGTTTCCAGTGGCTTCTCATAAAACTGAGCAAATGTCCTCTCTGTTGCCCATCCAGCAACTTTCAAGATCTCATTCAGCGGAACTCCACTCTGCTTTGCCTTGGAAGTTACTGCTCCCCTAGCACTATGTGTTTTATATTTATCAACGTAAATACCTGCATCTCTCATTACACATTTTATCCACCTACTGATAGTTGTTGAGACAACAAACTTGTATGGTTTAATGTAACTTATGAATAACTTTTTTTCTTCTCCACGCAAATGTTTAGTACGCGATATGTATTCTTCTAATGTACTATATACACACAACCTCCTATCTGGAGTATACTTCTTGCAATTTACAACAGGGTTACGTTTACCCTTACGACATTGTTTCAAAAGCCCACAATAATACAAAATAAAGGAATTCTCATCCTTTTTCATACCTTCTAAAGTTAATAAAACTTACAGAGTGAGAACGACTTGCCTGAGTCAAAACAATAAGTGTTGCTAACTTATAGCTCAACATTTTCAATGTCAAATTATTCACTGGTGGCAACGTCTTCAGGTGACTCAGAAGTATTGAAACATCCCACGTTTCTGAATACTTTGATCTTGTAGGTCTTAAGTTATACACACCGGTCATGTATCTCACAACTAACGGGTGTGAGCCGACATTATACCCTTCAT